CGAAAAAATAGATTTTTCATATGTTTTACTAATTGATCGGCAAAAATTACGTAGACTTTTGTCCAGTGAGTGTATATACTATATCTACCCAGGCTTTTGATGATGTAATTCTATCTTGGTCATTATTTCATTGCCTCTGATATTGTCAGGCTGTGATTATTCATTGGGGTTAAACAAGTAAGGAGAAAGGATAAACATGTCAGACGCTGTGGAAATTTCCCCCCTGAAACATTTGATTAGTGAAACGTTTCTGCAGCAGCCATTGGTATGACTAGAAGATAATGATCAAATTTCGTCATTTGGATTTTTATTTCGACTGAACTATCGATAATACAAATATATTATATACAATCGTCAAGAGGAATACATGAGATATCGGTTTAAATGTTTTGATTAGAAAAATGTGTTATAAGTGTCCTATTTGAGAGTCTCATTGTTAATGATAAGTTGCAATTGTCTCTTAGAAAGCAGCAAGGAATGATGCGACTCCAATCAAAGCCGCAATCATCCATATTGCTCCTTCGCCTTTCGTTCTCACTCCACCACCTGTCTGCAATGTAGGAGTAGTAGTCGTTTTCGTTCCAGTGACAACATTCACTATTGTTGATGTTCTTTGCGGTATAACTACATCTGTAGATGTCACCGTCCCATCAGGCAAAGTAGTCTGTACTTGTTGCGTCGTTGCAGGAATGATAGAGAAGCTTGTGCTAGATGAGGTTTCCGTTACAGTAACAACTGTTTGTCCTGGTGGGGCCGTAGGTGATGATGCTCTGATAAAAATTGATGGGCATTGGTTAATCAAAACTGGCTAGTATCGTAGAGATTAATCAAGCCGAGTAAAGTTAAGCTACTTACGGGCAGTTATTTCCGCATTGTGACATTTGAGGATTGCTTTTGGTTGAATGAATCGATTGAAAATAAAGTTAGTTTGAATTCAACGGATAAGGGGAGGGGGGGGGTCTTTGAATGTTGTGTTGTTCAATACTTACGCTCTCCGAGTAAATTTGTGTGCGGGAGGAGAAGTTGATGTTTTGAGCGTAAATATCAGAAATACGATAAACGCGAAGATGTAAATTGAACTTCTCAACAATTTTTTTACTACTGCCATCTTGATGTATTTTTGGTTGAATTGATTGATCCTTGTTACGATTGATAAAAGTTTTGAGATTTGATTTAATATGCTGGGAAATTGTCTGTCCATATATTTATAGTTGAAAACTTAGCTGCGGGGGGTTTCCAAAATTGTAACATTAATTTGTTATCGTTGCACGATGAAAGAAGCAGACACTGTGTTATTATTTTGCCTTGCACTTAAAATGGATATGAAATGATATAATGGTACGATCTTACTGCACGCCAGCTGCGACTTTTTGATAAAAGGGTAACGCAGTGCAGGTTTGGAAAATCTGGAAAAAACTGTCAATGTTTCACGTTGACCATATTTAGAAATCACATTTTGGCCTTGACTATAATTGTTTAGGCAATCTATAATTAGATTCACACTAAGCATGACACAATCAGGAGTACATATCGATATCCACCAAAGGAAGTAAAAAATTTAATATGGTCGTCTCCTACGGGGAGGTAGGGGAGGCGTTTTTGATTAGCGCCGCGCCTTTCTTTTGACTTTCGCTTGTCTTATTTTGAAACAAGTCCCACTTTTTCCTTGTTCCGGAAACTTTGTTAGCGGACAACATTGTTCTGCGCATTCATGTATCCATTGTAGTAGCATACCGAAGGTTTTAAATTTGTATCACCAACTAGTTATAAACGGATGAATATGTTTTCGACAAATCTGTGTTGTTTTAATCGTGGCCCATTGGCGGGGAAACAACCCCGATCGTGTTTACGAATGCGCAACATACAAATGTTATTATTTTTAAAGCCCGAACATCTGAAAACTATACCATTATCCGCGGTAAATGCAAATATTCATTCATCAGTTTTTTTTTCATTCATACTAATTTTCTCTTTGAATATTACTGGTTCTCTTAACAGCGCTAATAAGCTATTCGTTGCTTGTCATTGAAAAAAAAAAGAATTACAGTCTTCTTCAACATTACCAAAGACAGTTATTTGAAACTATTTTTGTCAGTCGGTAATTATTGGTTCCGGTAACTTTCATTTTGTTTTCAGGGTTCCCAACAATCTCAACCTCGTGGAGCGAGTGTAAACAAGCAGGACATGACGATCGATCATCATCTCATTAATCTTACATATGTTGATTAACTATAATTTAAAACATGTACATGTTGGCGTATCAATCGAAAACACCTGTTGGTTAAAAGTTGCCGCACAGCAATTTAGCTGACAAGAAACAAAGCAATACAAAGCAAAGCTGATATTCTGTCTTTGCTGTTCCAGCGATTTGCTCAACACAGCACAGACATTTCGGATATTATTCATTAATTAATTGTTTGTTTAGATTTGTGTGTGGCAGGACAAAATGCGTGCATGATGTAATTGCAGTATGACACAATCCATATCCGCAGCAAAGTGCAAATTTTTGACAAAGCAAGTATCATTTTATTAATTAAAACATCCAAATCCGTCTGCTCTAAATTACTTTTATTTCTGCTGCGCTAATCTTTGCCGAGGTTTAACTAGCAAGTATTTGAAATAAATTTTCCGTTCTAAATATAAATAAAATGCTAAACTTAATTTTGGAACAATGATTAAGCGTAGCATTTATTCATATGCTGTTATTATTTCATTTTTTATAGCGATTTCCGCATTTGTCACTGATCAGATCGTATGCTCCAGATCTCAAACACATTTAAGTGCACACAAGAAATATAACCTCGGCTGCGTATTAGCGAGCTAGGAAAAGGTATAGTATTTACAAACTCGGTCATTCCTTGTTTATTAATTATCCCACATGTGTTGTCACAACGCGGGCCGTTCGAAGCCAGTTTTGAAAACAAAAAATTTATAATTATTTGTCCTTACTTCACTTTTTGTATTGATATTATAATACACAACATACGTTATCGAGACTTTTTATCCAAAGCCGAAAATTGCCGACTTGCATTTCGTTGCAAATTGACGTAAGTTGCACAAGTGGGAATTCCTTTAGCCGATTTATTTGAGGTGCTACTTCTAATAAACTGTTTTATTATTTTTAATGTTTGACATTTACAAGTATAATAATAGTTCAGGGCATCACTTATTATCATTCTGGTGTGTTTCTCTTTATTAATGATAATTATCTGATAGCATTTGAAAGTCACGTATAATATCAATCATATGATTTCAACTCCGAAACAGAAACTAAATATCAAATATTTTAAAAATCGACTCATCCTCATTCTGAGATCAAAACCAGGAGTTAAATGCTATTACCAAAAAAAAGCACACTGTCCGAACAACTAGTAAATAATCTAATGTAATTGTGTGATTTATTTTATATCATTGGTTTTACATGTCTGTTTATACGATACCATTCAGAAAAACCTATATTGAACGCGGTTATGTAAAATTAATAACAATTAAAGTAGTCTACGACCGAAACAGGTTATTCTTCTTCTCCTTCTTTGTGAAGTCCAGGTGATTGTTATTGATATTTATAGTACCTTAAAATAAGCCATATACAGTTTTGTGCGCGATATCAATCAATTTTACGTGCTGTCAAACATTGCCAAATTTATGTTTCGGTTCGTTGATTCTTTTTAACGAGACCGTTAACCATCTGCTTTAAGGTATTATAAATTCACCATCGAACAATTTAATATAGCGCAAAACGTTGGAGAGATTTTAATAATTTTATCGTATGGTTGTACAGACGCAAGAAATTTTACTAGGATATACTCGATCCCAACACTATTCGATGATACGAAAATAACGATAGTTGTTAGTTGCTGATACGACTCTTATCCGATGTATAGCTATATGATTTATGAGCGATATCATATGAGTAACTGACAACAATAGAAAGTTGTTCAAAAATCGCAAAATGAAAACCAAAATGGAAAACCGTACTATACTTGGAATGGGTTACATTTGTTGTATGTCGGTTTGGAATTTATGTCCATTCCGAATGGACATGTATGTCGGATTGGAATAGTAAAGACAACCAGG